AAACACAAGAGATGCATACTTCAACTGACTGGACCTGATGCACAATTCCACACCTGGAGCTTTTAAACGAGCTGTAGATAACAACGGTGTAGTTTGGTTGCCGCAAACCCAATTTAAAACCCCCATGGCTATCATATAACTCTTATGGGGTCCTGATAGGGGTTGGGGTAGCCCACACCCCTTTAGCAGAGCCCCACTAGCCTCAGAAACCCTCAGTTTCAGGTTTATCTGGCCGCTGAGTGGCCTTCCTCGAAGTTTAGGATTTTGCGTTTGGGGTCTAGGGTTTAGATTGGTACACCAGAAAAAACAAGAAAGGAACAACATCCAGGGCCTCAGCAAGTTTACAAGGGGTTAACATATGAATCATTTCTCCGATCTGTCGCGTGGCCGCGTCAAACTCAGCGAGCAGCTCGGATGAAAATGGCTAGGGCAGCTCATACGACCGGGCTTTCTGTAGAGCCATGTACCAGCTGAGTTGGGTTTTGCCAGGTTCTAGGGGGTGCATGTGGTTCTACATCCTTGGCTTTGATTTTGTGCATTGCTGCGTGCACTCATGTAGGCTCTGCATGGGTCTTACACATACTCGTCTTTCGGGATCAATACTGCTTTAGCTGACCATATTTCGTTCGGGCTGTTGTGAATGATCATTCTTCTTGCTGCTGCTACTGCTGCACTAATCAGATTGTTTCTACATGTGCCAGTATTTGAAATATGCTTGTTCTATGCGGTGACATGTGGGATTCCGGGTGGATACGGGGTAAGGTTGAGGACTCAGGGCGTAGCACAGAAATTGCTAATCATGCAAGTACCAGTATTCCTGTACATCTGGCGATGCAAACACGGGGTCCCTGTTTTTGGGAGCTCCCCTGTAAGTCAAGGCCCTCGGCCACTCTAACAGGGTCCGCCCTGTCATGCAAAGTCCCCACTGCTGTACAAAGCATCGTCCAAGCGACGATGCGACATTGAACTGCCTCCTGCACATGGTCAGGTCAGGGGGATTGCCGTCCTTGCAGCACTCCGGTGCTTTAGTCGACATGGAACGAGACAGCCAACGTCTCCTGTATAAATGTTGCAGATTGCAACTGTGCGGTTGTAGCGATGTGCTGTACAAGGCTCACAGATTGCAACTGGCAGTCGCTTCCTGGGCTTCTTTATATATGGGTGGTTGTCATAATTATGGTCCCTTTTTGGGTGCCCTAAATATTAGGCGCCGTATTATAATAGGGATCCATAGGGACCAGAATTTTGACAACCACCCATATATACATATATATATATATGTATACACCAGTCTGGAGATGCAATTCTCATCTACAAGGTTCCTTGGGCCTGAAGTAAGACACAAACACACACACACACAGGATTTGAATGGAGATGATTAAGGAATACACCGGTCTTTAGAGAGTCCTTTGGGTCAGCACTTTACCAGGGCTCCATGAGCCCCGTGCTGCACTTGTCTATACAAGCTCGGTTTTGGGGCTGAGGGCTTAGCTTCGGGTTTGGAGACTCCGCGTGAAACATCGACACCGTAAACGCCTATACTGATAAGGAACATCACAGCAAGAAGGACCAGCAATGACAACACACCTCTACCTAAGTTCCTAAGGGTCAAAGTACTCAAGTACTCCACTACTCTATAATTTCCCTAAACATGCACTACAAGTACCATGTACCAAAATACCAAGTACCCAAAATTTAGGTACGTGGATCCTAAACCCTATACCTCTCTAGATGTGACTACATATCATTTCACAAGGACCCAACTGTTTTGTCGATGGACCCTTGAGATCAGTTCAAAAAAGGGATGGCTAGCCGTGACTAAGCCCTGCATCAGAGGGTTTAGGGATTATGGTGGCTTTAGGGTTTGGGGTCAAGGTTTTGCAGCTTAGGTTTCAGAGTTTTGGGCTTAAAAGGTCTCGCACCGGAACTGGCCTTGACCTGGGCAAACATGAGGGTGCTGCTGTATCGTCTTCTCATAGGAACACCCGAATCTACACTCACCCAAACCATGATACTAACCGTGCATCATGAAATGGCTTCCAAGCCGCTCCCTGCATCGAGGCATATGTAGACATGTACACCTTCATCACCGACATGCCAAGTAAAGTCCGAGTGTCAAACTGTCTAACAGAAATTCGCAGCGCCCCAACCTCCTTAAGAAGCGGGGCGCTAAGAGCGCTCTGCTGTCCAGCTCCAGTGCAACCAACTAGCCTTTGTCAGCGGCTTGGGATGTCTACGGTTTAGGTCTTAGGGTGAGTCTAAGTCTACGGTTTTAATTTTTCGGGTTTTGGGTTTACACAAGCTGTACAGGGTTCACGCTATACAATCTGTACTTACCGGAGCTTGAGGTTAAGCTAAGCCTCGTTCAATGTACTGTACGATACTTCTTTTGGAACTTATTACAAGGATCGTGAGTTTGGACCCTTACTTGAGAAACGTATATCGCAACTTAACAAGTTCCGATCCGCGACAACCTGCACCACAAGTTCCGATCCTTAACATCCTGCACAAAGCAAAACAAACAAGTTGTGGTGCTCTTCTTTCGAAGTGGATTTGCCCATTCGCGGCGGCAAACCCTTTCACGGGCCAGAGTAGAAAGGCTGGAGGGTACAGCCAGGAGCGAGTTCTTGTGCGCACCTGTACTCTGCATGGGACTAACAGGTTTTTTACAACCTCTCGGCGATTCTTGAAAGATAGATAGATAGAGTTGGGATGTCCTACTGAGCCCTAAACCCTAAACACCTACACCCTAAACCATATAAACCCTAAACAC